GTCTAACATTGACTTTAAAATAAGAAAAAAAAAAGAAAAATATTGTAGGATTTAAGTACATAACAATTTTATAAGGAAATTATTTTTAGCAAGGATCTTTTTATTTTTACTAAATACCGTATTTATTAATGTATAATACGATCATCATTTTTGGAGCATAAAAAACATGCAAAACCTAATCATCAATAACCTGCGTATAATACTACCCCCCCCCACAACACACACACACACACACACACTTTATGAATGATTTTTAAGGTTAATTTTCTAGTATTTTACATGAATAAATACAGTACGTCTTTCATGCAAAAATGAATGGACAACACAATGAGTGACGTAACTCAGTGAATTTAGATTCGATCCATCAATAAATGTGATCATTTATTTTACATAAAACAAAATCACAACAGTACACTTAATTGTGAGCAATCAATTTCCTATAAAAAGTTTAAGAATTAATAACAATCCAGATCACGTCCGAACTTCTTTATTCATCAGTTCAACACTTAAAATAGACAGCAAACGCCAAGCAAAATGTTAAATACCAGACATTTGAGGCAAGTAACTTAGATTGACAAGGTAAAGGTTTAAGAGAAAGGAGGAAGTAAGATGTTAGCTACTCCTAACTTTATTTTAAATAAATGTAGAAACCAGAAAGGCAGTCATCTCTCCGTCGATGTCCGTCAGACCAGCGACACTTAGTAACAAAGCTAGCAATACCTTTGACGATGATGTCTGTCACCTGTCCAGGTATTTGGGAAGATCAACAGTTGCTACAGCAAATCTGTTTAGATTCTCCCACTCAGTAGTGATCCTGCAGCACAAGTTACTCTTTCAGGGCCGCTTAATCTGCATCAGCCACAGGAGAGGGGCGAAGCCAACCGGTCCCTTCAGAATAAATCTTGCTTCCCACAGGAAGTCAAGACAAAGTTGCTTTGAGCTCTGAGCTCTCGTTTTGGGTAGCACCAGGCATTGGGGTGGCCCGGCCGAGAAATCCGTCCTTTGGCGCCTGGACGAATTACTCTGTCGAAAATGCTAGTTCTCCTGGAGGAGAACAGCTGATCTGGCTGTGTCCAAAATGGTGGGCCGGGTCCTCCGATGGCCAAATTCGTCAATGGCATACATCATATCGCCGCGACGAAGGCCTTCCAGAACCGAAGACTCCTCCGATGCGGCCGACAAATACGTCCTTCCTTTGGCCGAATCGAAGGACAGGTCTGATGGATCCTTCCCGGCCCAGCATATCCCATAATGCATTGCGGCCTGACCGGAGATTTTTTTTTATGCTAGTAATGGCGGACGAAGCGAGAGAAAAGAATACGTTTTAAATAAAAATATGGCGATATAAAAATGAAAAATTTTTGCGGCTGTAATTCTAATACTTTTATCATTTGTATAGACATGTTTTTAAATATT